TTGATTTTTCGAGACAGGGTTTCTCTGTGGTTTTGGAGCCTGTTCTGGAACTAGCTCTTGTAGACCAGGCTGGTCTCGAACTCACAGAGATCCACCTACATCTGCCTCCCGAGTGCTGGGATTAATGGCGTGCGCCACCACCGCCCGGCTTTTTTTTTCTCCTTTTTTTCTAGACAGGGTTTTTCTGGAGCTTTGGAGCCTGTCCTGGAACTAGCTCTTATAGACTAGGCTGGCCTCAAACTCACAGGGATCCTCCTGCCTCTGCCTCCTGAGTGGTGGGATTAAAGGTGTGTGCCACCACCTGGCTTGTAATTGGTATTTTATATTTTCATTTTGTAGCTGGTCCTTGAGTTCACCATCTAATTTGTTTATTGGTATGAATGTAAACAGCATTTTATCAGGATTGCGGTGACTTCTCGACAGTCAAGTTCAAAACACTGTTGTTAGTTACTTGATTCTTATTTGTGAACTTTCAAGAATGCATGAGTGTGCAGAACAGACAGAATGAGAGATCTCTTCCCTGAGCTTTGGAATTCTTACTGCCTTTCCCATGGTGATTTCTGTATCTTCAATACTACGTGTATTGCTCCAGAGATAAATTTTATATACACATTTATGCAAAAATTATTTACAACTTATGAACAGACACTCATAATCACACACAGGTCATTATGTGTACTCTATTGTGCAAACGTTGACACTCACAATCACACACAGGTCATTATGTGTACTCTCTTGTGCAAACGTTGTTATACATAGTTTCAAAGTGGCCAAGCCTAAACTGTGGCGATGGTACACACTTTTATTTATTTATTTATTTGGTTGGTTTATTATGTATACAATATTCTGTCTGTATGCCTGAAGGCCAGAAGAGGGCGCCAGACCTCTTTACAGATGGTTGTGAGCCACCATGTGGTTGCTGGGAATTGAACTCAGGACCTTTGGAAGAGCAGGCAATGCTCTTAACCACTGAGCCATCTCTCCAGCCCCCGATGGTACACACTTTTATCCCAGCACTTGGGAGGCAGAGACAATGGGTCACTGAATTTGAGTCCAGCCTGGTCTACAGAGTGAGTTCCAGGACAGCCAGGGCTACAACAGAGAAGCCCTGTCTCAAAAAAAGAAAATTATTTTTTGATTAAATGTAATATATATGTGTCTGCATATGTGGATTATGTGTGTGTGAATGCAGCTGTCTTCAAAGGCCAGAAGAGGATGTTAGGTCCGCTGGAGCTAGAGTAGTCGCGAGCCACCTTACAAGGGAACCAACCAGAAATTTATTGTTTTTTGAGACAATTTCTCTATGTAACCCTGACTCCTGGAACTTTCTCTGTAGACCAGGATGGCCTCAAACTCACAGAGATCCACTTGCTTCTTGGCCTTCTGAATGCTAGGATCAATTTTTTTTTTTTTTTTTTTTTTTAAAGACAAGGTCTTACTAAGTAGCCCTGGCTGTTCTGGAACTAGATCTCTAGACGGGGCTAGCCACAGACTCACGAGCTCTGCCTTTGCTCTTCCTCTAGGAGGGCAGCACATGTGTGTTAACAACTGAGCCATCTCGCCAGCCCCAGCCCCCGCCTCAGCCCCAGCATTTTTGAGTCTCTAGTCTTCCCTGCCTGAGATAGGACCCTGACAAAGTCGAGATCTATGACGGGATTTCCTAGCCCATCTCCTCTCTTAGTGCTGTGATTTCCGCCCTAAACACTCACACTTTGTGGCTGAACTCTCATCCTCTGCTTCTGGCTGTCCATTCCTGGAAGGGTCACGGTCATTTTGCGAGGCCCCCGGAATCCCAAGACATTGGTTTCCTGGGAGGATTAATTAGATTATATTCCAGCTGGCCTCGCTCCTTATGGTGTCTCACTTATTGGCACCCCTCATTTCTGCCCCTCCAGTATACTTACATAACATACAACTCCCAGCTCCTCTCTGATCCGGGTGTTGTCTGGAATCCAGTAGTTCCACTCAGGATTCACCCCGTTATCAAAGATGGTATATTTCGTGCCCAAGACATTGGATCTGCCCCAGGAGAGCAGTGGACAGAGCAATAACAACCGTGACAGTGATTGTTATTCTGTGTTAAGTGTTTCTCAAACCCATCTTCTAAGGAAAATAAAAAAAAATCACAGTCCCAGCCCTCTGATTCCTCGGTGTCATTCTAGCATCCTACATCGACTATTGAGAACCCTCTTCCATCTAGGAAGCAAGAACTCACACACGCTATTCCTCTTTCCCCACAGGAACTGAGGGGTCCCAGCCCTCGGCCTATCAAAAACCTAAACATATTAAATGCCAGCCTGTATTCATGATACCCAAAGCTTTCAAGGTTTTTCTTTTCCAGCTATGGAAATACAATCTGCAGAACTACAAAACCCATCAGACTTTGGTGCAGGTCCAGTTTCGTACATTGTGGCCTGCTGGGAAATGTAGTCCATTTGCCTGTCTTTCTCGTGACTTCCTGCCACCTGTTGCCTCACCCACATGCCAGGAGCGCCACACACCAAAAAGGCTTCACCTACCTAACTTTACCTACAAAGTTGTTCCCGTTGCGAGACATGTCTTTGGGGTCCAGGGAGATGAGATAATTTGAGGTCTTGCTTCTTTTCCTTCTCCGCCCTGCCAGAAGGAAATGCTGCAGACCAGAGAAGACACTTCAGGACTGACCTTTGACACCTGCTAGAGCCAGGGTCCTGAACACAGCTCTAAACTGTCTATGACTCTCTCAGGAGGAGGTGGAGACCTCACTGGGAGAAGACTTGGTCAGATGGAGAGGGCCGTGGCTTAGCTAGAGAATGGAACTGCTTCGAAGGCCTAGCTTATACCAGGATTGGTGGTGTTTGGGAGGCCGAAGGGACCCACTCATCTCAAGGGGAAGGGGGTGAGGTCAATGTGAACTGACTCTGGAATGGATAAGGCTTGGTTATAGGGAAGGGAGGACCTAAAGAAACATGCTCTAAAAAGTTTGGCAGACTGAGGTGGGCAGGGCTTGGAGCTGTCAAGTCCTAACTATGAGACACAGGTCTGAGTCCTAAATAAATAAATAAATGAATAAATAAATAGTTGCTGAAAGGGGCTCCTGTTGTTGGCCTGGCTGGTCTGGAATTCATGATTTACAAAGAGCTGCCTTCCTCTGTTTACCAACTGTGGGGGATTAAAGGATCCACCACCACCTGGCTCTGTTTTTAGTTTTTTCAGTGTCTCATTAGTTCAGGAGGCTGGCCTTGAACTCAGCTGTCCTTACTCCCCTGACCCTCCCTGCCGCCATTCCCAAGGATTATTGGGATTAGAGTTTTACGCCACCACGTCTGGCTCCCGAAATTTTTAACCTTGTCCAAAAAAGGGAGGGACATAACCCTCGAAGTTGGGGCTTGTTTCCCATATCTGTCCCCTCCAGTGTGAAGCCTCCCGCCGCCGGGGCTGAAGCATACAGCCACTCCGTCGTCCGCCTCCAGGTAGAGGTAGTAGGAGGGGAACATGCTCTTGTCCATGCCATGCTTGTTGCGGACGATGCGGCACTGCACCATGTGCTCTCGGGGTGCGGGTAGCAGCACGTAGGCCTCCATGTCCTCCCCGAGCCGAGGGCCTGGCGTGCGGGGCAGGGAACAGGGCATATTCCAAGAATTGTGGCTGCTGGTGTCGCCATTGCCTTGCAAGACCTTGGGCACCACTGGGGCGTTGTTTGTCCCCGTAGACTCCGAAGCCTCTTTCTTCTCCAGGTCTTCATCCTAGCTCCAGTGCAAATCAAAAGTGGAGGGGCAGTCAGGCTCGACCACGCAGACTGATTGGCTATTCCAGCTAGGGGTGACCCTTGAAGACCCCCGGCTTCCTGTTAGTCAAGCATGGCCGTAACCCACCCAATCTCGCTGGCACGTCTGTCCATTGGGTCCAACTCACAATTTCATCAGCTCCACAGACCTGTTGGATAATCTGCGTGAGGTCCTTCTCTAGGACACATAAATCCAGAGTACCTGCCAGAACATGCCAGCGAGGTCGCCGGGCACTGCGTAGCAGCTGCCCTGCCTAGAATCCCCCAGTGAGGGGCTCAGGTGTCGCTCAGTGGTAAGAGCAGGCATGTAGTCATGTTGACTACAAAATGACCCTTTCAAATCATGCTTTGTAGTCTCCATTAGTAGTCACCTGTTCATCTGTTCATGGTAATGGTATTCTTTTTAGGGGAGGGAGTCTTTTTTTTTTTTTTTTTTTTTTTTTTTTTTTTTTTTTTTTTTTTTTTTTT